ATAATTGCATCGTGTCACCACATGTTGCACGGTATGGAAACCGAGCAGATTCGTCATCAGTTGACTGTGGAGAAGGTGACACCAAGTTCAGTTCTTCGTAGATCGAATCCAGCTCGTCCGATCTGGTTGGTGAGACAGGTGGTCCACTGGCTAATAGACAAGGAATGGGGATCGCGCGTTCGTGTGCTACCGAACCCTCACAAAGCTGAGGCGCTGCTCCAAGTGCCAGGTCTGATGTTCCGGATAGACTAGACACTGCATTATCATTCTCCGTGTTGTTGACAAACGCCTTGGTAGAAAAGGGCCAAATAAACGATACTTAAGATGAAGACGACAAGAATAGGTGAAAATTTTGACAACGGTTTAAAAACACTCCTCCACAGACGGGTAAGACACGAAAACCTAGTATATCGTTAGGAACAGTAAGGCCACTGTTTTAGACACCGAAGTCGAATAGCCACCACTTCTCGCCGGCCAAGCGTAAGAGAGGGTCATGGAGGAATCATTCTGGAAGGTGGACCACACCAACAAGACGCAAACTCTGCCTAATCTCTTTCACACTCTTCCGCCAAGTCGCACTTCGTACACCTCGCAGTTTGTACCTCTCTGAAGGGGGCGCGCAGAACATGTCTCGGTAGATAATGTTTCAGAATTCGTGGCACATGACCGAGTATCCATGGTTGATGTTGCTAGATGTTCTCCAAGAATAAAATATCTACTGCACAACGGAACGCCGATTGCAAATTCGTTGACACCATCCAACACCAGAAACTCTTCTGAGGTATCGTTGGTCGAATCTGTAACTCCACGTTTCACAACCACACAATAACACAACCCTTACGGTAACCTGGTACACACAACTACTGCGACCCAGTGATATGGCGTTTTGATGCCACAGTGACATAAATTAGCAAATGTGATTCAGACCTTTGAGATTTGTGCAACGGCTTCATCAGAGACACTGTCGCCAGAGCTAATACAACTGCCGCGGCATGTAAAATTCTCAAGAACCTCCAGTGATGTTTCTGTAGTTGTAAAGGTCATGTTCAGGGTGCCTGCCGAAAGACGATATGATGGCTGTCAGTTTATTCATTAAGACCGGTGCTTCGCATTCGTCTTCGAAGACGAGGACGATGTCGTCGCGTATTCCAGATTAGCAAGGTTCTCACGAGCATCGATTGGAACACCGAGGTTTTCAAGACTTTCCAGCTTTGGCCGCAATATTTAATCGAAGGAGAGATTGAACCAAAACGGAGAGAGTGGACAATCTTGTTGGACGCCATTTTTGTTGAGAAGTCTGTAATCTAACATCTGACAGTGTGGTTGACGCAGCCTCTACCCGGTCAAAATCTCGCTTGATGCTCACGAGTCAAGAATTTGCCTGCCGCCGTAAGACGATGGAGAATCGGTGACGTCAGAGAGGTTGTAACAACGGGAGTCAAATCAAAACATTCCCTGCGAGTACCGTCTTCGAAAATGGCCACTACTGTCCACTCACCCCAGTGATCTGGGACGGTCCACTTCTGCTAGATAGATGCCAACAAGCCAGACAGGCACTGGTTGAAGAAATGACTGCCAACCTTCAACAGAACAGGCGGGAGGTCGTCGGGACAAGGAGCACGACGACGCTTTAGTGGGGATATAGGCTCGGACACTAAAGTCGAAGGGTGCCGTATTCACAGTCCATCTTTCTGTTGAATGCCGGCAGTCCAGACTGGAGGTAACAGGGAGCCGACTGAATTGTTGTCCGAAGCATCGTGCGCAACGGATTATATGTTCCCCATTGCTGGATATCAGAGCCAGTTTCATCCCTGATGGTTTCAATGACAAGAGGCTTTCGAGGACCAGTCGAATGAATCAAGTGGAACAACCTGCGAACATTTCCAGCATTTTTGCATCCTACATTTCTGCGGTCTTTCGGATCCACCAAGCTCCCAAGTTTGCATGGACAAGCAGCTTGATCTGGAGTCCGATGATGTGTCCGGTTGAGTTGTTTGCGGCTAGGAGGAATATGTCGCCTGGCCTCCAACAAAGCCACGGACATACCAGAGACACAATGTTTGGATGAGGCTGGCTGAATTGTACCGCATATAGAAGCTCCACTTCGAGTATCGTTTTTGATAACTGTTCCCGTGGTAGTTAACATTCGAGGTCGCACCATTCGGTGGGCGGTGAAAAGACCGCTTCTAACAGGTCCATCTGATTTCTGGGTCTTTTCGGTGGAGAAGCAAAGTGTACGCAGTTTGCGTTCGCTTGAAAAGCGCAGTGAAAACCAACAGTAGACAAGTGCACCATCATATTCCACGCAGGTATTACCAAGGAAACGTTAGGCAGTGACCGAACCTCTCCATCGGTAACTAATGGCAATGTGACCTATTTGGATTCGCGGACGGTCCTTTCGTGGGCACAATATTGTGAAACGATTTCCGCTGTTTCGGAAAACGGCACAGTAATAGGACAATCTGTGATCGGCACACACTTTCCATGAGTCTTGTGTCCAACCATATTGGGCCTTGGCAGTGCGAAACCTACCTACTTAAGTGTTCATGTCACAGCAAGGGCAACGATGTCCGAGTATTCAGCCCGTTGTAAGAGAACAATTGGAGTATCATAGAAATCGTCCCTAGCTTCAGTCCATCGGGATTTAGGCAAATACATAGGCAGATAGATATTACTTTATTGAGATTCCTTCGGGACGTTGCCAAAAGAATCATGCAGAGGCAAATTTCAACGCACATTCGGTCAAGCAGAGAAACCTCCCCTCGATGACTCAACACACTAATCACCCCAGCGGTAGCATGTTTCACCTACCCGCCTTGATGTATGCAGCTTTTAAGGCAACTCGGTTGACGACGAAATGCGGCAGCCGATCTGGAATGATAATAATTTAGTTGTGACGTTCACAGTTGTGCGTGGGCTGGCATACTGTCAGGGCGTCCATACCTAGACAGGAGGATGGCTAGGGTCCTCAACCAAAGCCTGCGCACAAGGCATCGGATGAGTGCCGGCATACTACTTCAGTTGTACAAGTTTTTCAGAGGTTTAAAAGAAGGAAAAGAAACTCACTAGTGAAGTTTCAGAGTTGGAATCCGCAGTGCAGAGTCCGTTTGAAGGTGCTTAAAATGAAGAAAGAAATGGTAAATTGTCATATGAAAAAAAGAACAATAGCGACAGGGAATTTTATAATCTAAAAGGGTGGGACACCCTGAGAAGAATGGATGATGTCAGTACTTCATATGTGACCTAGATGAATGTTACTTCCACATGTGAACCAAGGGAATTCGGTGGTTGCAGCTTTCTAATGATGGGATCCAAGGCAAAGAAGATAAGATACTGAATGAAAAATAGTCTGGTAGTTCAGTAGGGGTTTGCAATACGAATGTGTGATATTGCTGTTAGTCTCAGCTTTTCATCCGAAAGGACGCCTAAAAGAACGTAAAACTTGCCAGTCAAGTATAAAGACCGGTTAGTTGATAAAAGTTATGGAGGATTGCACACCCGCACACACACACACACACATTCAGCTGCAACGCCCTTTTGGTGCTTAGCTGTCATACCACCCGAAGGAAGCACGAAAGCTGAGATACTGAAAAGTTACCCAAGCCCAGCTAAGAACAGTCGAGATCCAGAGGTTGGGTTCGAACCAGACTCTGCGATCAATAAGTTCACACTTTAACAACTCACCTATTCAGAAAATTCGCATATAAATATAATGCCACAGCTGAAGTAGCACAACAGCTACCCACCAAATGCTTCCTCCCAAAGAAAAATTGAAACGAACGACGGACAAACGAAAAATGTCAAAAGTCTGAAGATGCTCAAAGATATATAGGGTTTCATGGTTGGCTGATATCGTGAGTTGTGCCCAGGGCGTCTGGACACTGTCCCATCACCAGAGGAGCTATTTGTGAATTGTGATCACGGTTCACCTGATTCAACCGACTAAACATGCACCGGTAGAAGAAAATAATCAGCGAATTCTGGTAACGATACGTAGTTTAGGCCAACAAAAAATACGTATACCTTACTCAAAAATTCAAACATAGGTCTGTTATGAATTATTTTTATTTTCGCGTCAGGAAAAGCAAGTTACTGTGACCGAGAAGCTAGCTGCTCTACAGCGTTCGATGGACAAAAAATCCTAGCCGAAGAAAAAATAACTGGAGACTGTAACAAAAATATCGCTACAAATATGAGAAACGAGAAAGTTGGTTGAACAAGCCAACTAACAAATCAGACCACTTACTCCTCTGAAACTTGCTGTTAATATCACCTGTCCCCGAAACTAGGGAGTGGTTCAGAGCTTTCGGTGATTGTCCAGCCCCGAGAACTAAAGTATTTGTGGACAAGTTCCTATCGGAACGCGTTAATTGGTCGTATTCACCGCCGAATGCAAGCGAAGAACAGTCCGGGACACTGCAACGGGAACGTATTCGATGGGTTGACGAGGCAACCGCCTTACGAAAAGCGTAAGTTCGGTCGATTGATGCCCGTAATCCGTTCTTGACAAATGTCGCAGATTTGTTTGCTGAACTGGATGAGCCTACTCCTGTAGGCTCTGACCTGATGATCCGGGAAATCGGAAGTTCGCTAGTCGGGCTGCAGAAAACAAATGGTGAAGCATTCATCTGAGGGCGAAGCTGCAAGGTCACAGTGGCTACTGTGCATTTGGCTCATAATAGTCAAAAGCATGCAGGGGAATAGAAATTAGGACGAACGTTGGAACGGAGACAGGAAGTAAGTAAAAAAACAACGACTCGGTGAGCAACAGCATGACCAGGCATTGTAATATTGTTTTCGTGGTGTTCTAGGATGTAACGTGACAACGCCAGCGGTAAGTGAGACCACCCACAGGCGTGAACGAGGACGAGGCCAAGCAAACCAGGAATACTTTATCTTACTGTACAGATGATTTTGGTTCTCCTTGTCATGTGCATGAATGACCCAACAGGATGTGCGATGTGTGTGTGTGTGTCTAGGTCGTCGTTCATGTCAAATGACATGGAGCATGGATAGAATTTCTGACAATAAATCATAGCACATTCCAGGAAGAAATAAAGAAGCAACCAATGCATTTATTTCTTTGTATGGACTTCATCACCGTTTGTAGCGTCCTCCAAACAAAGAACGTTCCTGATAAGGGACTTTGAGTCACTCGGTTGCGTAAGTGCGATGTGGTGTGTGTGTCTAGGTCGTCGTTCATGTCAAATGACATGGAGCATGGATAGAATTTCTGACAATAAATCATAGCACATTCCAGGAAGAAATAAAGAAGCAACCAATGCATTTATTTCTTTGTATGGACTTCATCACCGTTTGTAGCGTCCTCCAAACAAAGAACGTTCCTGATAAGGGACTTTGAGTCACTCGGTTGCGTAACTCTGGAAGACAATGGCGATTGGAAGCTACACCCAAATAACGGTTAAGAACGGCAAAGGACATTCTTACCCTGAAAAAATATTAAGATAAGTCATCCCAGAGACAAGTATCCATAACCCTTGTCATAATGCGGATGGCAGTAATTTACATGCTTCAAAGGGTGGTTTCTCATTCAGAGGAGACTGCGGCTAGCAACTCGTGTCAAACATAGGCCGAATAACCACAAAAATCTGACGCTATTTGAATGCACGGGATTTATGATGAATGACGCTGGTCGTTCAGCATGACCACTGGCCGCCTACAGCGCAACCATGTAGGAACATTCTTCATGTTCTAAGCAATCTTCTATGATCAACCGGGCCAAAATAGCCGTCGTGGTTGCGCAGGTGGATTGAAGTGACTATGTCAATGAAGCACTTAGACACAGACCTGCCTTGCCAGAGCTTGAGTGAACTCATGATCAAAGGAAACGCGAACTGGTGAGCAATTGAGTAGATGAGCCAAGTAAACCGACTTTGAATGATTATCTAGAGGCGCCACTGAAACGTCCCCTGCTCTTATAGGAACACTCGAAATAAATGGATCTGTGGGTGTTCCAATCAGTACTCTTGACACGACAAAATATCCAAATAGGTACAAGCGCATCTTGATTATGCAACACAACACTAACCTGTTATTAGAAGAGTGTAGTGTCCGGTGAATGATACTTCGATTCGAATCAGCCTGACTGGCAGCCGGACTGGTTTTCTGAGACGGGGGAGGACCAGAAGTGCGGAGGGGGGTTGGAGCAATCGAAAGACAAGTGGGAGAAGTCCTGTTATTTGTTGAAGGAGTCCGCCCGGGGATGGCATTAACATCAGTATTCTTTATGGGCAAACATGCCCCCTTCAATGTGGAGTGGGTTGATGAGTAAGTATTGGAAGAGCTTTGGGTATTGGTGCTATGGTACCACTTTGAGCTGGACGACAGTTTCTTTAGGGCTTGGTTGGCTGAGTGCATTGCACGACGCCCCGTTGCTGAAGCCGCACCAAACAAGCCAGTACTTGGGGACTTTTCGCTAACAGGTGCTGAAAAACCTGACGAGGCAGTTCCGGTTCGTGAGGAGGACTGTGGGACTGTGTATACGGAGGGACGCGTGCAATCGACATGAGGTAAGTGTCGCACAGAGTACGACCCACTGGAACTACCATTTGACGTACTGGTTGGAGCCACAGAATTCCAACACTGGTCCAGGAACTTGATAACATGATCTGCAAAGAAAATGAAGAAAATGTACAACTTAAATCTCATCATCCCGCAGGGTAAAACGGGCAAGCGAAACGGTATCGTTGCAGCTCTATTAAAAAGTCGGTTTTATATGTCATGAGTGTCCGCTGGCACCAACCGGAGAATATTAAAGTCCATAAACTAGAAAGGTTGTAAACGGCTTTCATAAGAACCCTCTTACACTTTTCCAGCCAGTTCTAGCTTTTCACCATCTAAATAGGCTTGTTTACACGCCAACCAGGCCTAACGACCAAAAAGTGGAGAACTGAATCGAGTGAGCTAGCTACGCATGTAGCTTCGCACAGCATGTAAAGCAGAACGGCTGTGTAACATTCCAAAAGTCTTTGATGTCCCATCTTTAAAAAAAAACAATTAAATGTCGCCCGCCAGTAGCCTGAGAGTAACTTCCAAACGGACACCTTACCAGGTTTTGTGTACAGGAATGAATTAGAAAGATTTCCAGTGATCCTGGGAACGAGGCAGATGCGCTCAGCCCAGTTAACAAATGAGGGAAAGGGGGTGGAAGCTCAACGTACTCATCACACCTGTTTCAAATCTGCCATGGAGTTCTTCTTAAGAAGTGGAAAACCTTCACTCCAGTAGAAATCAATTAGCTAAGGTGGTGGCTCGTTTAGTTGTGCAAATAGAACCTAGAGATAACAAATGGACAGGTGCACGTATCATTTACCGAGTATGTTCGTTCCAGCCTGCATCCAGTCCGAAGACCTAGTAGCACCGTCTTCTACGGTTTTTGACTGTGGCTTGTCAGAGGGAATATCACGTTGGGGGTAATTTCCAACTTGTTCACTCAAAATACTCCATGAGTCAGCTGTCATGGGGGAAGAGCAGATCGCTTCAGGAGCAGGGAAAATAAGTGGGTTTGCGGAAGAAACAGAATGCTTTCCATTGGGTATCAGAGATGAGTCCTTCGCTAGGAGCAGCAGCCGAGGTGTATCACATGGTAGAGAATTCATTGCCGAGCGAACCGCCGATAAACGCGCGTCCAAAGAGCGAGAACGATAAGACGCCTTGGACAAGGTTGAAAACATCATGTCCGAGTGATCTGACGGAAAATCGTTCGAATAAGGCTGAAAACCCCCACTACTTGCGTCAGTGTTCGAATGTAGACAATCACAACAGGTCCCACATGCACAATCTGTGGTTGGCAGAGATCCTTGGCGTATATTGAACAGAGAACAGCAAGTACAAGAGGTATGAATATCACTATACGCTGGACCCACTACTTGGTCAGTGTTCGAATGTAGACAATCACAACAGGTCCCACATGCACAATCTGTGGTTGGCAGAGATCCTTGGCGTATATTGAACAGAGAACAGCAAGTACAAGAGGTATGAATATCACTATACGCTGGACAGTCAGGGACATCACTCATGGGTCGCTTCACATCTATTTCGTCCGTGAAAAACAAGGGGTCGGATCGGGGGCGGGGAGTAACCACGTTGTCATCACCGTCCTCTGTGCTGAGAGAATTGGTGGGAGAAAATGGCCTTTCACATGCGGTGTTGGGGTAGTCGCAAACTACGCTTTCAACTCCTGACTCTGCGGCGTTATCCGGTACATCGGTTGGAGTCAGGTGCCTCTTCTTTGAGGAAATTCCCAAAACGAAAATGTAACCATGGTAAGCCGGCCCTGAATTCATGGGTAACGCGATGCCACGAGCTCTGTTTGTGGTGCACTGGAGTACACCATTCAGAAACTGAAGGAAAACGAAAACGTTATTACTTTGGGCAGTATGCTATGGGCAGAGCTGCTGATAGTTTATTGGTGATGATCCAAAAACACTAAGCGACGAATGCAATCTTAAATTATGTACACACTAAAGACATGGAGTATACCTGCCCTCTGAAAGATTGACCTCCATTTGGAGTGCGAATGAACTAAACGATGCACACAAGCTAACACACAAAATTTATCTTACAGCTTGTGCTTCCGCGGTTAAGGCCTGCAACAGGCCCGAGTTTCAATTGTTCCATCATGGCTCTAGTAGCAAGTAAAAAGCTCAGTCTTTTGTGATGAGAACACTGGTAAGACCAGCCTTTAATGCTTGTGAAGAACAGTTAAATTTGCAGTTCAGAAATCAAGTCACGGAGTTAAAATAGAAGTACTGAATGAAACTGCTTTGTACCATGCAACACAGCGAACTGTTCCGATTATCCAGGAAAACCTGACTAGACTGTTGTGAGACGTGAACAAAAGGTTCACTCTGTACAGCCTGCTGCCGATACGAAACGCAGGGCAAAGCGACGTAAAATAGTGCGCTTAAAAAATGAGTATTTCTGAGTTCTAAAAAAGGTGCGTCCCGTAACACACAAAACCCAGCGCACATGAAAAACCAATAGACAGACAAACAGTGTGTGAATGCGTGCAACGGCAACTCGGTCAGTCCCTGAAAGTCACCGAATCAATTCGAAAGGACCATGTTTAGCGCTCACTAGTAGTTCACACTTGAGAACGCATGTAACCGAATGTGTTTGTCTTGGAGGAATAGCAGAAAATTACATTAGAAATAGCAGATGACTGAGTGATGTAGCACAGACTAACAATGTCATAGAAGTGAACAAAATCTCAGCCAGCACACCGTCTGAAATCCATTCACACACCAGAGAGGCGTAATAAGCCTATCGTGTGGAAGCAACCGATAATTCGGCACACACCTTAATGTGAGAACATGCCACTTAGTTTGGAGGAAAAACATAGAACTGCATATTCCTACCATGCGGTGGTCATCGAAAGCGAGAACGGGGCGTTTTGTACTTTCAGTTTAGTGAACAGCTTCCGAACAGGAGCGTAAGGGACCGGCTCCAGCTAATCAAAAAGACTACGCCTATAAGATCGACATCCCAATCAGCGCAAAAGAGTTTGCCGTGCATAGCAGGGTGATCAACAAGAGGCGCGCGCAAATGGAGAGTTAGAAGCCATCTAAGTGAAGTCAGTTAGACGAAATCAGTTTCGAAATCATGGGTCAAACGTAAACCAGGCTTGCGGAGCGCACCAGTTATATGAATAGATTACCTATCAAGTGAAATAGTCGAGCTATCCAGAACTTTAGTTTCAAATGTAATAACACCAGCGTTGACACTATTGCTTGATTGCTAAGAACACGGCTTTGTCAGAAAATAGAACGGGGTATGATGGGCTTTGAAATGAGAAGTTCAAGCACACGTGGCATCGATAAAAAGACACGACTGGAGACATTTTTCCAAGATTAAAAAAGTCAAAACCGATTGGACTTGGTGCCAATCCATCACAAACACTCTGAGGTACCAATACTCTCGAATACTCGCTCGCAATCTAGATGGAAACTAGAAGCACGAGCCCCACTGACATTTGTTAGCCGCTACGCTTTGTGATATCTGAGCAGAGCGCAAAGACAGTCACAGGTATTCTGTCACAAAACCGCCTATACTCACCACCATCCCATCTATATCCTTCAGTTTGCACCAGTGTGAAAATGATGTCAGCAACAACACTCCACCAGGTAGACGACGATCGGCATGTGTAGCACATGGCGGATCCACCAAAGGACCCGGTGCCGGAACTTTTTGGTAGTCAAAAAACCTATGGAACAACCATAAAAACCACAAAAATGTTACGAATTTCCTGGGAGATCCACTAATAGCGACGGTCTCCATGTGTCGGTGCTCTTGCTTCTTGCAATCACACCAATGCACTGGAACTTAATGATATTCCCTAGCACCTCAGAGGTCAGCACATCCACTACGATTACCCTTTTGAAGATGGTTTGAGGGAATCTGTCCGACCTCTTCCTCTTACTAAAAGCAAATAAGTTAGGTAAAAACTAAATGCCAAAACCACCACCATCTTTACAAAAGCCAGACTGAAGGCAGTCTGGATCAGAAGCTCGTTGTCGCTTGAGTAAGAAGCTACACTCAAATACATGAAAGTGAAGGGGTTTGCAGGTTCACAGGCGTCACAAGGCGTCAATATGGAAGGAGGATAGGGGGCAGGCAAATGCCACTTAAAATACTTACTGCTGAACAGTGGAGAAGCGGAAAGAAGCTTCAGACAACCGACTGAATAGCTGGCGGGGATCTCCGGTATTTTCGCCTGTTCCATTTCATCGGTACGCACAAGACTTCGCAATCTGCGAATCTGCTCACTTTTACACAGAGTCCAAAAGCACACCCAACTGGTTGTGGTAGCGAGTGGGAAGGATTTACCTCCAGGCCTCCAGTATCTCATTAGAATTTAAGTATCTGAATGCAGTTGGCTGGATTGCACTAGAGGCAAGTCCCGGTACAGCCTTGGAGATGTAATTTAACATTTGAAATATGGTTGCTTGGTAGGCACTAAACAGATGGCTTTGGAACGTATTTGATCTTAGGACTTGTCACCTATTACGCAACGTGTGCGCGTTTTGAGGATACCTGAACGGTTTAAAAAAAAATTGGTAGCAATTATGTGCAATCGGAGTCTGCACAAGGATTCCACGATCGATTCTCGCGATCACCAACTTGTGGTAAATTGGCTCGGGACTGCCTGCTGATGGTCAGACGATTTTCGTTATTTCGGTGTTTGGTACAGTATATGGTCAGCACACCACTACAATAGGCGCTCTCTGATGCCTATGCATCTTGTGTTCAACCCAAGATCACAACCGCACTACATCCTAAGAGAGCTAGGACTGATCAATTGGAAGCTCATGCGCCAGCGGCCACACTGATGTCTGAGTTTCCTGTGCTTCCTAAAAGAGCACAGAGTCATAAGACACTTTTGACAGAGCCGCAATTCGCTGCGTCATAAGAAGGCACAACAACCGGGCAATGATGCCCGCGGTATCGGGATCATTTCAGATAGTGCCAAAGGGACCGTACATAGGTGACTTATGCTAGCTTACTTTGCACACAGTGGCCTACCTTCAGACTTGTGAAGCACGTTCACATATTTCGTGAGCTTCATCATAAGGATACAGTACAACGAACCGGGTAACTAAGTGTTATCCGATTCCCTCCAAGGTGGGACTGCACGCATTATGACCACGTGATGGGTGTTCATAAATGATCCACTTCCCTGTAGCATAATATACGACTAGATCGTAACCTATTAAAAAACGGACGAATTTTGCACGTCTTCCATCTAATAAAAGTGTCGCAGCTAAACTGATGGCTGTCGAAGGTCTGAGACACTGTGTGGAGATGAACGCCCGATTGCAAATAATAAAGTGCCAACAAAAGACTCAACCAAATCCCAGCTAGATCCGTTGTGACACTTCGAGCAAATGTACCGAATCTGCCACCACTGGTTGTTGCAGTTGTAACGATCTTCAAGATATCAAAGTATTTTCCTTTCTAAATTGCGCAGCATGTAGTGCTATATTCAGGAAAGTAAAATACTCATGTTGTGGTAGTCTCGTCCCCCATTTCCACTCAGGTGTCCATTTATCACACACTTTGTCCTTTCCAATTGACCTGTTATGTCACCAAACAGGTACAAAACCCTAGCTAATGTGTGGCCAAAAAGCCGCTTGAACCGTGCAGTATTCAGAAGAACGAACAACCATTAACCTGATCAGCCGGATATCCCTATATACACAGGTCCGTTTGAAAAAAAAACGCATGAAAGACAAACCATTCGGGTCAACGTACCTTATGTAAGGAAAGGAGTGTAGCATGCACCTGACCATTCTGAATCGGATGAGATGTAGGTTGGATGGTCGGCGACATATCCACTTCAGTGGTTCGAATATACACTGGGGGAATTCTGTCAGTGGGCAACGGCCAAGAAGCATGAACCGAAATAGGCTGCATAGGCTGTTGTGCATAGGTGCTGTCGTCGATAAAGTTGGGTTGCGACTGAATCGAATGAGACTGATTGGCCCGAGTACAGAGCAGAGGGTTGACAGAGAAACCGGCGCATGTCAGCAGGTGAACTATGGCCTGAGAGGCTAACAAGTCCGTGCACGCACAGGCAACAGCAACGGACAGCTCCGGAGATAACGGCAAAGTCGAATTAGGAAGTTTAGCAGGCGGGGATGTTCCAGCTGCAACACCATAAATCTGCCCCATACAGTGGCTATCAGTACTTAGGCCCGGCTCCAAGCATTGAGGGTTGAGGGGAAAGAAGCGGTATACCAGTTGTTTGAACACATGGTCCATGCAACCACCCCAAGGAAACGATGGACAACAGTGTGGCAAACTGTCATGACTGAACATATGGTAGAACGAGGAAGTATGTGTGCCTGAAACTCCTGCAAAATATATGAAAAAATTGAAAACCAGTTAAGTTGCCGATATCGATATAGACTGTGGGTGATAATTTCTGAATCCGTGGACATAGTTAATGAAGTCACAGTTGAGTGTAGTCTGCTACTAGCGTCTGGTGCATGGTACTGTTGAAATAAACAAAAAAGGATAGGCCGATGCGTCGCATAAAGTCAGCTCAGCGAAACTACCGACGAGGATGACCCATTGAGAAAATAGACGCGATCCATGATCAACCTCACAAAACCACTAAGGTGAGTAAGAAAATCTCACAACACTATGGGGTTTTGTGAAAAGCTGCATTCATGAGTACTCGAGCACAGGCTCTTGGTCAGAAAGATCCAAGATACAAGGCTTTAGCGACCTTGCTGAATCCCAGCCATGGTGCCGACTACGGGCTGCATCCTAGGCTGTGCGGTGAAAAGATGCCACAGCTACAAGATCTGTTCACTTTTTAGAGACTATACAATTAAGCCAGTGAAAACCTACGTTGTCAGACGTTCATCTAGAGATAGGTGCGGTCGCAAAACGCAGTGGAATTCAGTGAAAGTTAGTAGAGGTCCATTTGTCATGTATTTTCAGCACCTGCAGCCGCGGTATGTCTGTGAAGTATTCACGTTTAATGTTCGTGTACTTGTGGTCAGAGACAATCATAACAAACCACTACAGTGACAGTACACCATATAAGGGTCCGCACGGTCCGTGTAGCCGGCTCGTAGAACGAGCAATATCATGAAAGAAACTGACAAACTTTGACAGACGGTCTGGATGAAGGGGATACGTCCTGAGTTCTACCATAAACATCATTATCATAAGAACCACCCTCAATCTTACCATCGTTCACGCGGCCATTGAGTGAACAGATGTCGTTCGAAATTCTCGAACCCTGAGATATTACCGAAAACAACTATTGTGCTTAAGAAATCTAACCGTGGCGACGGCTAGTGAGAACGGCTGCTCCGGAGAATTCGATGCGATTACCGTTGAATCATAGGACACATAAACCAGACGTTTTCGTTCACTCTTTGTTTTAAAAATGCACAAGCTGGTTAGTAGCATGGGGAGATCATCAGCATCGTTCAGCAGTAACATCTGGTACCTAGCTGCCATGCTACCCGAAGGAAGCACGAGGGCTGGGATACTGCCAGGTTGCCCAAGCCCAGACAAGGGAAGTCGAGAGGCAGAAATCGGGTTCGAACCACGGACCTTCCGGTCAGTGAATTCGTGCTCTAACCACTTAAGCCATCCCGCATGAGGAGGTCTACCATAGCCTCCACAACACAGTAGAAACTCATCTGGCGAGACCGATCACAGCTGGTTGTTATCAAGTGTTGGTCGCTGGTGAAGCTTGACCACACTATCATTTTAAGCCCACTCAAGATAATCATCCAGTTGGTACATATGATCAACAATATTCACTGATCGATACGATTAGCATGCAGTGAATCAGAATAACGGCAGACTGACGTGGCGCAGCAGACTTATACAGGCGTAGTTCAATTAGCTGAACAGCGATAACACGACACACCTGCCAGGTGCTTGAGTGGTAAAAGTTGAGTTGAAGGAAGGTCACTGACTTAGTCATAAAAACCTAAAATCGAAATTCGGCTGGGCATACACACTGGAAAGCCAACGGGGCACATGTATCAGCAGAAAAGGGCATCACGGAAAAATACTGAAAAACACAGCTCGATATCCATTTACGGCAATAAGATAAACAATCCAAAATTCATATGCACCATTGCAACATTTTAACTGGATGAGTGGATAGCTCGGGTACCTGAATTGAATTTCTCAGTATGCTAACTGAAGCATGGGATTCACACTGGGATAAGCGACAACAAAAGTCGAAAAAAATAGCGGTGGATACTAGATAGGAAGAAGTGGATGAGCAGCAGAACATACTCTACGAAATATCGTACAAACGGAAGATGGTATACAATGCGCAGCTCACCTCTGGCAGAAACAGGACAGTGTCCAGAACCATAAAATAATGGCGAAGTGGTGGGAGGAAGAAGTAGGTTAAACTGAGCAGCAACGAGTGTTTGTCTTTCAGACGGAAGATATGTCATGGCTTGATAACGCCAATCGTCCGATAACTGTTGATCTAACCAACTTAAGTGAGTTTCCTTGATTCCTCTGGGAGGCGCGGTAAATATATTGTCCAGAGCACATGCCGAACAAGGATCAGTCGTTTGTATACCTGTACTGGTTGATGTTGACATCAGAGAACTGTCCGAAGAATCATTCAGTCCTGCTCTTGACTCATTCATACTTGCGACTTGGTGAACCATGAATTCTCGCGAGTGATCGCTTACCGACGAAGCGTCGCGCAGTTGGATAAGGTAGGCCCCCACAGCTTGCAGGAACAGATCTGTTCGCTCAACCAGCAAATCCAAGAAATCCTCGCGAGCCCGAGTGTGGAGATCGTGTTGGAAATTTTTGTACATCTGTGGATAGAGTGAGATATACTGGGTACAGGATCGTCGCTGCTACTGGTAAGAAAAGGAGATGCATTAAGAGACATGGAACCTAGGCAAAATGTTTCAGTAAAAACAGAAAACAGTAGTGATCAGAAGGATGTTACTTACGGTTGAGATTTGCTCATCAGTCAGGTCACTTGGTTGTAATTCGCTTATGATATTCTGCACCTCAGACATTGGTTGCCCCGGAAGTATGCATTTTGTAACCACTTCTGTGGGCTCAGATACTGATGCCGAATTGGTTGGTCCAAGAAGGATACGTGACTGCAGGCCAGCCTCCAGCCGAGCCTGCTCTAGGTAGCGGTGCTCATTGAGCAGTAGCTGGTTGACGTAAAGTTGTAATGGGGAATCGTGAAGTTCTTGGGGCTCCAGAACTAACTTAAAGGGTATCCGGTCGTCCGCAAGCTTTGCACGTCCAGCGATATCGTTCTCGTTCAACGTGATTAGTCCATGGGGATCAACAGTGCGCGAAGTGTCTTGAAAATACAGTGCAAACTCGTTCTGATCGCGAAGGTACTGCGCAATCTCCTCAATGGATCTGATGGCCAAAAGAGTTGAGAAATATTTATGTAACCAATGGTCATGAGTAAATCTACTAGCTACATTAAGCAAAGGCACTGTGTAAGCTACTTTTAGACAACCATAAACATCTGAGCCTACAGTGAGCAGGCATTTTCGACCATGACGGCACGACAGCAATCCTTAATTCAGGAAGCACGTCCGTCCTCGCCAAGTACAATTCGAAAACCACGCACCCATCGGTCAACACAGTTGAAAAATAACCCGTGCGTCTACCTAAAAAACCGGCCAGATTTCGATATTCTTACTGAAACATAAATGTATCACGTGTCAAAAGAAATAAAACCATCCAGTTCGTAAGCAACAGCTCGAGAGAAAAAACGAGAACGTATTTGGCCAAAAACACTCCGACCAAAGTTTGCATGCGAGCGTCAGACCTCCAGTGTGCATCTAGACAGCGTGCCCGAAGTGGGTGACGTTTGAGAAATCTATCACACGACCGCGTACCTACAGCGCAGTGGATCCGCACTTTCTCATTGGCGGCCATTGTCATTACTATAAACCACACCTTTCGTATATCGACAAGTGGTAATTTTCTCTCTATATTTTCATCTCATGTACTATCGTCATTAGACGAGTAAAGCATACATTCTGTTTTCCTAATCTCGACGTGAAGAACCACTCAAATATCCCAACAGCCATCAAGTCACATATATGGGCATTATGCGCTGATTATGAGAATGTAAGTCTGCATTATTAGCAGCCACCTCAACCAGCTCACAGATGCCAAAAAACAGAAGCTGGTGCGTTTGTATTAAAGCACCTACAACAGTACTTCCAAACATGCAGTGAATTCTTAATGGGACCAAGAGATAAGAAGCCGATTCCCATTCTGTTTTGTGGCGAACGAGAACGCGAATTGGGCAACCGCGATCGATGAAGCTTCGCTACTATGGCTGTCAGTGAGCAACTGAAACAGCGTTCTGTGGAAACTAGTTCAGTGTACAATCCCTCAAAAAGCAGGTTACTCTGCCTCTCGACTTCCCCTGTTTGGGCTTGGGCAACCTGGCAGTATCACTAGGATACGAAATGTCTCACGGAATGATAAAAGCAGACCTTGAACATTTTCGAGCCCTACGGGAGTCACCTCATCCATGTAACATCCGTTCACGACGAAGAGTGGTCGGAATGCTGACATACTACGCAACTGGATCCAATGTTTTCCGGATAAAACTCATCAAATCGTCCACAACCAGATCTCCCTATTCCAAATAGCGTATAAACTGCATTAAAAAAATCCAGAATACGATTTGGAAACGGCCTCCGCGTGTTTACCATAGACTACACTCATCCATTTGTTGTGGAAACTGATGCTTCCGACATGGCCATTGAGGCTACTCTCCATCAAGACAGGCGCCATGTAGCTTTCTTTTCACGCAATCTGTCACAGAGTAAAAAAAACGCATACACAATGAGCGTCATCATTCGGCAATTGAGAAAGAAGTATACGCAATCGTTGGGGCTCTACCAGATTGGCAATAACTTCACACTTGTCACGGATCAAAGATCAGTCCCCTTTATGTACAACAAACAGCACAAAGGCAAAGTGAAGAACGACAAAATCCAGAGATGGAGACTTGAACTATCCTGTTTTCATTACGATGCTCAATACCGTCCATGTAATCAAAATAAAGCCGGTGACGCACTCTCGCGAACTGATAACATAGCTGCGATGTCACAAGTGGATCTCAAACAACTTCATAACACGTTGTCAACCCGGCATCACGCGGATGCTTCATTTCGTTCGCGCAAAAAAATTTGCCCTTTTTACTCGAGGATGTTAGGGCGATTACAAATCAATGTGGTATTCGTTCCGAACTGAAGCGTCGTTTCCTCAGTCACCCTTTTGGCAGTCTTATTAAAGTTATACAACCCTTTGAAAGCGTCAGCGTAGATTTTAAAGGCCCACTGCCATCGATATTCCACAACAACTACCTTTTAACAATGATCGACGAGCACTCCCATTTCCTATTCACCTTCACGTATACGGATGTGTTCTCGTCCACCGCGCCCGAGTGTTTTAATCAGTTGTTTTCTTTGTTCGGAAAGTCCTCCTCATACGTTCAGTCTGATCGTGGTGGAGCTTTCATGTCAGGTGGAGTACAAACGTTTATTCACGACAGGGGTGTGGCAACCAGTCGAAAAACTCCACACAATCCATGCGGTAACGGACAAGTCGAACGGCTCAACGGCACTCTTTGGAAATCTATCACTCTGGCATTGAAGACCCAACAACAGAACGTTACTGAATGGGAATGTGTGCTCCTAGATGCCTCGCACTCTGTTCACTCCTTATTGTGCACCACTACTAATACAACTCCACACGAAAGATTTCCTAATTTCCGCAGGAGGTCAACGTACGGCAACTCTATTCCGACTTGGTTATCGACTCCCATCATCATCGTCATTGTCAGCTGTGAGAACTGCGTACTTGTCGTATAGTGGTTGTAGCTGCCACAGTTTCGTTCACAGATGATCCGGGGAGGTGGGGTAGGTAGCTGCGCATTAGATGCGGGAGACGATAAATTAGTGCGTAAATACAGCACTGTAGGTGGACTATTAAGTGGGGGGTTGAAAAGATAGCTATGCATTGAAGGCAATAGCTTGGATGCACCAGCGCCATTGAGGGCGCGACTGGGCCATGTCTGACAATGTCCCTAGTCATTAATGTGGCCCGTCTCGGAGTCCCCATTCAGGAAGACGGCAAGGACCAGCGCAGCTGAGTTTGCTGGTAATGGCTTTTATATTTTGCTGCCAAGTCATTGTTTGACCGCCTCTGGCTCTCTTCCGCACTTCACGTGGTTGTGCGAAAAGAGCCCTTCTGGCCAAGCCAGCGCAAGCTGTGCAGTGTGATCAGTTCATCTATCGAGGGTGACTTATTTCTCCCGAACACCATTCGACGTACTTTAGCATGGCTGATCCGGTGTTTCCACCAGATTCGGGCAATGCTCCAAATACATCGACGGTCAAACACCGAAAATCTTCTGACGTCCTCGGTGCGCAGCGGTCGGTTTTCTGATCCATATGATAATGGAGCGCACCGCAGCATTGTGAATTCGACTCTTGACGGAGAAGCAGATGTCACGCCTACGCCACAGGTGATGTAGGTTCACACAAGCTGCTTTGGCCTTCTCAATTCGGATGTCAATATCATCTTTTGTGAGACCACCGGGACTGATGCAGCTGCCCAGGTAAACAAATTTGTCTACTACCTCAATTGGTTCATCCGCAGGCATGAGGATAGGGTTCGAGCCCACCCAGCCTTGCAGTAGCACTTTAGACTTTGCAAGAAGCGCATGCCGTGAGGCAGAATTATTCCATTTATCTAAAATCGCTTGCATTGGGGAAGGGTCTGAACCAAGGAGAGTAATATCGTTTGCATACTCAATGTCTATGAGGGAACGTCCCGGGAGCATTTCGACTCCCAAGGTTTCAGACAGGCAGAGGATGTTCAAGCAGCACAGCAATAGCAAAGACAAAGTGGAAATGGGAAAGAGGACAGCTTCATCTTACACCACTGCACGTGGTGAACTCCGGGGAGAGCTTCCATTATACTCATACGCGCCTACAGGAGTTCGCATACAGTGTCCTCATAAGGGAGGGAAAACTAGATGGGATACCTTTAATCGCCAGACTCTGCCAAAGTTGTTGACGATCGATGGAGTCAAAAGCAGCTTTCAAATCCAGAAAAACGACCAACGTGAGACGTCTGAAGGGGTGGTGCTGTTCAAGGATTTGTCTCAAGGTAAAGATATGGTGGATGAATTCTCGACCAGGGCGGAACCCAGCTTGATTCTAACGAATCTATCTCCCAATAACCCATCAAACTGCACAAAATAATGCTAGAGAGCACTTTAGACAAGACGGATACGAGGCTGATACCACGATGGCTTCCACATGAGGTTCTCGCGTCATTTTTGGAAATTGGTATGACGGTCGAGGAGCTCCATTCGGCTGGTATTGCTTTCGTTCCAAATCTTCTGCAGTACGGTTGTCAGACTGCTTACCAGGACTTAGCCACTTTTGAAGAGCGAGGGGTGTAGACCATCCGGACCCGGTGTCTTGTCACACTTCAGGATTGAAATCTCACGCTGGATTTCTGTTGCTGATGCTTCGTTCGGGCCCAATTGCTTCTTCTAGCGGTTGTGTTTACGGGGACCAGGTGAACCGTTTTTGGAAGTACTCAGCCCACTGCTCAAGATGGCGATTGAGAGAGCGAATTGCTGTCCCGTCTTTTCCGCATATCGCCTCATTGACACCTGCGTTCTTTTGACCCATTGATCGAATCAGTTGAAACAAGGAGCGGCTGTTGCCTGCGGCGATAACCTTCTCAATCTGTTGTATCTTGCGGTGGCCGTCTATTGGTTACGCCTGAACTGAGCCTGCCAGACTACGCGATAGGGAGAAGACAGAGAACTGGGGACACGGCTGGTTGCCAGGACAAAATATACAGAGCGTCTGCATAAATATATAGGATGACTAATTGGCCAAATATGGTCGTTCACTTGTTCGTTCCGTACAGCCAATGGTGGTGTTGCGGTCGTGAACAGTCTCAGGCCCACTACGCTTGTCGTATGTTGCTAAGCCGTGTTTGGTGAGAGCCGCCAACTCACCTGCCTTCCGGACGTGCCGTACCGATGGTGACCTTGGGGATGCGTCACTCTCTGCACATGCGCTTTTTTCTGTCTGGGCGCGTCCTGACAATCTCCTGGGCCTTTGAAATCAACCAGCGTTCTGTCAGTTTTCAAGCTCCTGATTGTCCGGTGTTTGAGGGATCTGCGTGCGCCATCATAGTTGCTAGTTGCTGGTATGGCCTTTCTGGAAGCAATAGGAGCCGCTGATCTCGAAGATATCCAGTGCTCACTGATTCGAGTCAGACGGACTGGACAAAAGCTCTAAAAGCTGACAGCAATGCTTCTTTAACTCGCCTCCATTCATCCTTCAAGCAATCTTCGTCGT